AGACATGTACTTTTGAGACCAGTTTAGGAATCTGAAAGTTCAATGGACTGGTAACAGGGCAGGAACTCAAGGGACACTATGGACGTCAAGGAGCAAACACTTGACATCAGAAGCAACACTCTCTTGAAGAGCAAACTTGAGTCTCCCCACCAAGAGTTGTCATACACTTATAAGGAGGCGCAGAGCTTTTCCAGACCCTGTTCTGAACTGAAGTAACTGAAGAAATCTGTTGTGTATCACATGTATTCACTTAGTAAAAAGCAAAGTATGGCCATTTTGTTTTTGCAGATACTGATGGTTATATTAGAATTTGTAAACCATGTTACCCAAATCCTAGCCCTCACATTAAAGAGATATATAACAGAGGTATTTGATAGCCTCCAGATTTAATATATGGTTTTATTTATAATTTAAAAAATCACTATAAAACTTTAAAGGAAAGGCCCATTATTTACAGATAAAAATATAGGTTTTTTATATATACATTTATGTATGTTTGCATACATATAAAAATAAACCTTAAAAGAGAAGCTGTGTCACCTCTGTGGCCCCGCCCCCACCATGCACAACCGAATGGGAATCATAGGTGGGACTGAAATGCTCACACTTTGTACAGGTCATTCTTTTTTTTTCTCTCAATATATTTTTAATATCTTTTGGGTTAAAGCGAGAGAGAAAAGTTTGGCTAGAAACAATTCAGATAGAGAAAGAATTGGAAATTTCAAATTACTGATCTAAGTTAACACATTGCTGAAACCACTGTGTCATATTTGCATTAGATAAATGGCCAACGAGAATTGCCTTTATCTCTGTGCTGCTTGGTTCTGCCATGGCCATACTTTGTTAATGATAGACTAGTGGCGAGCAGCTGACCACAAAGGCTTCTTGCTGTTCAGAGTGACACTGTGAGATGAGGGGAAGATGTGGATTTATAGTAGATCCGGATCTAAGTTCCTAGTCTGGGTCCAAAAGTGAGTTTAATAGGACCCATCCAACAAGCTAGGCAAAGTGGTACCTGCCTTTAATTTCAGCATTGGAGAGGCTGAGGAAGGGAGAATGTTGTGAATTTGAAATTATCACGAGCTACTAGAGAGTTCCAGGCCATTCTGGGCTACAGAGTAGAACCCAAAATAGCTACAATAAAATAATAATAAATGATAATGTACCTATCTAACAGTGATCTCTAGGCTCTAGTAAGTCTGGTTCATAGAGTGCAGGTAGTTCTTCTCAGGGACATTTCTGTATTTGGGAAATTGGTTGTTAAGCCCACAATATGTTTTTATATTGTTATATATCTGTGTCAATTAATATAATCATCATTATCATCAACCATCATTTTTCTGTTGTCTTTGGGATTCGTTGGAGTGTTGTAGAGAAGAATGGTTTGCCACAGTATGAAGTGCCTTATCTAGTCTTCAAGAAAATTGCCCTGAAATAATTAGCATGAAGCATTGAAGCAGTAACAAAGCAACTTGGAGAATTTTTCCTGAAGAGATGAAAGGTGAGAAGCTCCCTTTCCAGTAGGGTAGTGGGCAATCTTTCTACCTGGAGTTTTGTTTTTAGATGTCTATTCACAGATTGTGCTGAGGCTGCTGCTCTGGGACCCTTTGCACACAGGCTTGGTTTGCATGCATGCTTGAGATGAACAGGGTTTGCACAGCCCATTGCCTTGGATCTTCTTTCTTCTCCTTACAAAGTTTATTTTAGAAATCGTCTTTTGGTCTAAAGCAAGAGAGAAGCATTCAATTAAAAATGCATTCAGAGAAGGAATCAAGGTATTTTAATAACTAAGTGTTGTTCTTACATTGCCATTCAGAGAGAGTAATATATAGCTATGCATAATGCAGAGATCCTGGAAGGAATCCCCCAGACAAACCAGTGCTGGAGTTGCATAGTAAGTAGAACAGCACTGGGAGAGAGTTCTTCAAACATCAGCATCTCTGCAGTCCCTTGCACAATAGTGAGAAGAATGGGCTCTGGAGAAGTTTGGGGCTCTGTGGAACCTTTACAGGCAGAGCCTAGCTAGAGGAAGTGCTTGATTAAGAGGGCAGGAAGCCTTGAGGATTACAGCCCAGGATCTCTTCCAGATCTAGGCTTCCTCAGTCCTGACTTACTCAGGTGTGAGGGAGCATTAGTCCCACAGTCATGCGGCCACAGTCAGCCGCTGCACTTGCCACCATGCCCCCTCTCCCATGATGGACTAGACCCTCAAACTGTAAGCCAGAGTCTGTGCTTTCTCCCTTAAGTTGCTTCTTGTTAGTAACTTTATCACAGAAATGGCAAAAGCAATTAATACAAGAATGTCCCAGTAGTAAATTCTTTTTCAGTCTGTACTTTGAGTTGTTTCTGAATTCTTTTACTTTCAAACCATAACACTGAGTCTCTTGGAAGAGCTCATGTTGTATAAATCTTCCCTCCAATTCTTGTAATTATTAAGGACAGATTACTGAACGATAGGTTGGAACAATACATAAAAAGAAATACTGCCACAAAGTTCTAAAGTTCTCTGTCCAGCTTCTTTCTTCTTCCTCTTCTTCTTCCTGTCCTCCTCTTCCTCCTGCTCTTCCTCCTGCTCCTCCTGCTCCTCCTCCTCCTCCTCCTCCTCCTCCTCCTCCTCCTCCTCCTCCTCTTCTTAGTGACTCTCCTCCCATAAATACCCTTTGTCTTCCCCACTATGGGATGACATTTCAGTGGGAGATCTGAAGAGCACCTCCAGTCACATTTTCTGAAACTCATCCAAACATAGATGATAAAAGTGTGTCATTTATCTTGTCAATCTGCTTGATATCAGCTTGCTTTGCACTCCTTTATGAAACAGGTACAGGAAGCAGCAGAGAAGTTATTTATTGCTGACAAGAGCAGCACTATCCATTTAAGAACTGTGAGTGTCTCTCTTGAGCCAGGGCATTTGTCACAGAAGCTTGGTTAACAAGCCTAACGTTTTCTATGACCTGCTTTTAAAAATAAAGATTTATTTTATGTGCGTGTACATGTATGTCTCTCCGTACACATGCACACATGCATGTGATTGTTGGTGACCCGGAGGCCAATAGAAGGCATCAGATCCCCAGAGCTGGAGTTGCAGGTCTCTGGTAGCTCCTGCCATGGGTGCTGGGAACAGAACTTTGGTCATGTGTAAGATACACAAGCTCTTCTCACTGCTGAGCCATCTCTCCTGCCTACTATCTGCCTTTTAGAGAAAACGCTGCCAATTCTCACTCTAAAAGACAAGCAGACTCTTTTAAGGTGATAAGTTCAATTTTTTCACAATATCTAACAGCACACAAATGCTGCTTTGCTATAAAACACTGACTCACCTGGACTCACTGGGTGACTAAAGGCATGAAGAAGTCTGACAGCCTCCGTCAGGCATCTTAGCCACTCAAGAAGTGTCTGCTTTACCTATCTCATCCTGCTTCAAGGCCAAAGGCACAGAGGTCAGACATGGTCCTGAACCTTGAACTCCAAAAGGACCAGAGCCTCATAGCAAGATTACCCCCAGTTGAAGGCAGTGACACAGGCGGGCAAGGCTGCACCCAGAAGCAGAAGCAGCATCCTGAGTGACCCCTAAGGCTGTCTATGGACCTCCTCCTCATTGTACAGGAGCTGAGACAATGTCCATACCTTGACCAGGGCTGCTTAACAGTGCACACCTCTGTCTCTGGGCTACTTGTCTGAATCATTTCTCTGTTCACTAGATAGAATCTTTTTTTTTTGTAAACTTCATTGATTCTTTGTGAGAGTCACGTCATACTTCCCAGTCCTGCTCATCTCCCTGTCCACACACACACACACACACACACACACACACATAGAAAACATCGTGGAAGCTGTAGTATGTCACAGTGTATCCTACCGTATATCCATCTGTCCGTACATCTTCGCTTGTGAATATTCATTGCAGTGAGTTGTTGGTTTGGTTGAAGCTCTCTGGCTTCTGTGACACCATCAACGTTGGACCCTCACCAGAGCTCCTCCGTTGGTTATTCTATTGTTGCCCTGTGTCATGGAGATCCTGAAGCTTTGGATCAGCAGAACTGGCCCTTTCCTGCATCCCAACCATTCTCAGATGATAAAGATTTTGAGGTGGGCCAACGTAGAGCCCCAGATCTGGGCCTGGGTGGTAGCTGAGCTGGTTGGCCTTCAGCTCTCCCTTAGCACCACCAGGGTGAGCTCTAGATCTCCGAAGCTCATGACCCTGTGGGCAGCTGTCCTGACTGCCAGAGGTGGCAAGGGGCAGGCAGGGGAGGCATTATCTCTGCACCCATTCCACTCCATGGCAGATATGTGGCAAGGTCAGCTCCCCACACTCATTCTCTCAGGGCTGGCACATCCATACCCCTGCTGCCAGAACCAGCTCCACCATGCTGCCTTGGTGAGGTGCAGGGCCTGTTCTTCTGAGTGTTGCTGCCAGTGAGAGATGGGGCCAGCGCTCCTGAGTACCACATCCAGTGAAGGGCAAGACCAGTTATGTACAGCCCCTGAAATTCACCTGGTCCCTTGTGTATGCCCTGACCAAGGAAATCCCCATGTCTTCTAGTGGCAAAATATGACATGGAATGGACATCAATACTGACCCTTGTTGCTGAGTAGCCACAGACTCAGAAATAGCCCTCAGTGGCAGCTTGGGGTGGGACATCACCAAGGCATCAGGTGGCAGGGCTCATAACAGGGTACTCTTATTCACACTTGAATTTCCAGTTTCATCTCTTCACAGTGCTCAAGCTGCTCCATGTTTTCTGTGTCATCTGACCACCACATACTTGCACACTGTGATGGCTCTCACTGCAGGCTGGCCAAATGACTGGGGGTGGGGGGGACTCCTGGTTGACATCCTCCATTCTTGCTATACATCATGGCAGCAAGCAGGTGTCTATGCCCACCTGTGCCATACACTGGAGGTCAGATCTGTGGGTGGCATGTGGTCCATAGATCTCTGTCTGTCTTCCTCCTCCCATGCTACACTGCCTGGATTTGGTTTGATTTGATTAGTTTGATTTTTATGAGTCCTAGGCATGAGACAGCTTTGGCCATCAAGCCAGGGCCTAAGCTAGGATAAACAAAGAACTATCTGCTCTGCCCCGGAGTGATATAAGAACATTATCACCATCAAGATGTCTCTTTACCCATTGCCAGGGAGGGTTCTAAGTTAATGAAGGAGGGTCCTCTCCTGTCTCTAGGATAAATACAGAAAGGAAGTAGTTGGTATCTATTTTATGGAGCAGAAAGCCATTTTAGGGTCATTGAAAAATGTATTCCTATAGAATCAATCTTTTTTGTTCAAATTGTCAAGATACCCTATCTATCTGATTTACCTGGATGAATTATCCCTTCTGATTCTTTTCTTCCAGGTTTTTCTGTTTAGAATCATCTTTACTTTGTAATTGAAAAAAACAAAACAAAACAAGAAGCAGAATGATTTTGAGACATCAGTCAGTCATCACCTGCAGAGATGTTATTTTTGTGTTTCTAACTTTGTGCTCACAACACTACTGGGTGAGAAGTCAAGTGGGGGGCTATGCTAGAAATTCTAGTACTTAGGAGGATGAGACAGGAGCATCTGAATTTCCAGGTCAGCTTGGTCTGTGTGATGAGACTTTGGCTCAGAGAGAACTTAAAAATTAATTTCTGGTCTGTAGTTTATTATACAAAATTTAAAGTTATTTGAGTATGATTTTTCTTGTAATGAGTTAATTCCTTTTAGCTTATAAGTATTCATCAATATATTATATTTTATTGGGAATTAAACAAACATATACATACACACATACACACACATAAAAATACACACACACACATATATATATGTATATATATATATATATATATATATATATATATATATATATTTACAAACAGACTTATACCTGGCATAGAAGTTTTTTCTAGATGTAGCAAATATTGTCATTAATTCCAATGTGTAAGTCAGCTCACAACTGATGGCTTTGGAATGATAGTTGAACAGATAAAATATCAGTTAAGTCAAGTTTCCAATCTTGACTCAAGAGCATCCTGCCTGGTCTCCCTGTGAAGCTCATCTGTCCAAGAGAAAGTCATCTGTTTCCTCTCTACCCAGAAGCACCTCATCTTTCTTAATTGTTATTCTGAATGTGACCCATGACCCTGTTCAACCATATCCCAGCAGCAAACTGAACTGATTGTACTCCATTCAGTTAGACCAGTCTTGCTGTAATTTGAATCTGGAAAGGAACCAGTCAGTAGTAGATGATTAGAATATTTAATGAGGGTTATTATCAGCTGTTGCTCACAGAGAAGAAAGCTATAAATGCAAGGCCGTTCTTCTCCCAGTGCTCACAAGTAATTCTTTAGTGTTTAGATATTGCTTTGTATTTCTTAAATATTTTAAATTATTTTTCCCATTACCCTTTGACAACAATACACTAAACTACAAACAACAACAACAACAACAACAAAACACTTTGTTTTTTTCTTGCATATTAATTTCCAGTTTACAGATGGGGAATATGAAACTCTCACAGAACAAACACTAATTTATCCTGCTATACTAACAACAGTAAAATGCAAAGCACTCTTCTAGTGAGTGGCTACAGCAACAGCCACAATCAAATAAGAAACATTTGCAGTCAGAATGTAACTGATAGAAAAGAAATTCTGGGGGCTGGAGAGATGGCTTAGTGGTTAAGAGCACTGGCAGCAATTTCTGGAGGACCTGGGTTCAATTCCCAGCATCCACATGGTGGCTCACAGCTGTCTGTAACTCCTGTTCCAGAGGACCCATCACCGTTAAACAGACATATATGCTGTCAAAACACCAATGCATACAAAAATATGAATAAATAAGTATAGAAATTCTGAGGCAGACACTTGTAGTGTTTGGAGGGGAAATGAACACTTTATCTCAGACAGTCCTTGTGTTGAGTGAGTTTCAGTAGAAGCACTGAACATCCCTGACTGCTGATGTCTGTCCCCTTGCTTTCCTTCATCCTCTGCTTTAACTCACGTCGACTTTTCTGTGTAATGAACATATAACTGGAGCTACATACCAGAGACATTTGTTTCTGACTCACAGACCCGCTGGCCAGTCAGTCATGGTTTGAAACTTAGACCCACTGGTCAGCTGCTCTGCCTCAGCCTGAGGACACGGTGTTGACCCTGTTCTTAGAGGTCTGTTTCCTCACAGCAACTTAAGTGCAAAAATATAGACAACACACAAACATAGTCCTTTCCTGGTGGGTTCTCCATGTCCAGAGCAAGGTACTTTGAGAGTCAAGGGGCTGGGAAGTTTGTCTCCCAAGCATGAGGCCAACCCAAGGATCTTTTGAGCACATGATGATTGTAGGCTGAATGACAATGAAGTCTTAAAGACATAGATAGCATCTTCCTTATATTCTCTTGGCATGTCCTTTACGTCATTTGCCATTAAGAATGTAGCAGCATGCAAAATAGTGCTAGAATAAGTGAAACCTCAGAAGAGCATGGGCCCTAGCTGAACACAGTAGTGAATGTCTGTGATCTCTGGCTCTGAGAGAACTTATGTAGGAATACTTGGGGGGGGGTGCATTGAGGCCAACCTGGACTACACTGGGAAATTGAGTCTCTAAAACGCAAAAGCAAAATACCAAAAACAGAGAACATCATCTTCATGTATTTGCCAAGCAGATAGTGACACTTGACAATAGACTAGGCATTTTCCCTTGCTGGGAGATCTATATCACTGTAGTATGCTAGCTTCCTACATCTGTACTTAAAGAGTTTGAACGTAGGATTGAAAAAGATGACTGGTGACATTGGTTAGTGGCATGCAATGCCTGTGATAGACATCATTTCCAATCCTGAGCATGAAACAGCCTTGCATGTGTTCTTCTGTGTTACTGCATTGCAAATAGCCATGTCAGCTTTCTAGAGGAAAGAAGGGTATGTGGAGCAGAGCTGAGGCCTTTGAGCTGTTCCTGCTGATCCATTGCTGGCCAGCCAGTCCATAGGGAACCTATAAGCTGGTTGTGACTGAGAGTAAGCTCCTATTGACACCCTGATGGGTGGGGGACTGTGGAGACATGAGACACAACACATGTTGCCTGTTTCAAGTCTGTAAGTCTTCCTGGGGCAGAATGGAGCTTCTCAGAAATACTAACTAGAACACCTGGGAAGTTCCTTTATCTGCCTTGGGTCTGTATCACCTTTCTAGATCCTGAGTGTTCTTTCCCTTGGTGTCTCTTCTCAGCTGTCAACCCATATATCTCTATCCACATCCTCTGATGTGTTTTTTTTTTTTTACACTGTACATATTCAGTGGGGTGTCACTTTTTAGGAAGGCTATATTATTCTAATTGATTTTGTACAATATGATTACTGGTACAATAACAAGGCAAGAAAGCACAGAGTGTTTTCTGTTAAAGATGCCTAATGCATTTCAATTTCTGCAGCAACTGTATTTAATTTTAGCTGTTTGAAAAATCCATTTTCTTTGTGGAGACAGGACACAACAAGAAAAATTTGTCAGCAGTCATTATTTGGAATTTTAGTCTCCATGTGGGAGGCACAATAATTTCACTCTGACAGCTAATATTCAGGGAAACCAGCTCAAGATAGAAAAAAAGATTGGGGACTATTGTGTATTTCTGGAAATAATAGAATCAACATCTAAGAGAAAGGCTAGAGCTCTGATACCAAGGCTCTGCTTTTCTTCTCTAGTTTCTTTTTGTCTACATTAACATACAATGTCAAAATAGGAATGCAGACAGACAAGAGCGATTCACAGTTCAAACTTTTATTGAACCAATTAAATGTGAGGCCTTTGGGGGTTTGAGAAAAAACGTAACCTTATGTGTTAGGGAACTGGGACCCGTTTCTTTAATTCCATAATTCCACTAAAATAATTCTGTGGTTTACTTATGTGAATGTATGTGTCTATGTGTGGATATGAGCATGTATGAATAATGCAGGTGTCAAAGGAGTCTGGAAGGTAGCTTTGGATCCCTGGGAACTGAGGTTAAAGGTGTTCATGAGCTTCCTGATATGATATCAATATTTTTCTGCTCACAACTAAGTTCCAGTTGTCTGTCTTCACATCTTTGGGTGACTCTGCGGTGTACTATCATGGTGCTGGTTTAAGTGTATCAGAGTAGTGATGGGGTGATTCACAAATAATCCCTGTATGAAGGATGGTCTGAAAGGATAGCTTCACACTGGTGCCAAGCACGCCTGTCTACTCACACATTTGTTTGGAAAGCCTTCTCAGTTGGCTTCTTCGCTTCATGTTTCTTCTAGAGAATATAGAGAATAGAGATAGTTTTGATTTATCACATCCTTACCATATAAGCATTGAACACAGTCATCTGGGGTTGACAACTGGGTGGGCTTCTGTAGTCTTCGATGGCTCAAAACCTATAAGGGTTCTTAAATGCTTTAATCTCCGTTCTAGCCCACCACCTGCTAGAGTTAGTGGAAAAGAAAGAGTAACAGAGCAAATGTAGACCTTTTTAGAAATATTTCTTTGAATCAAATCCAATTTGCCTTGTCAGGATATCAGCAGTTCAGTTCACATGAGTCAGCATTGGTAATTAGATCCACTCACAAACACCATTCACTAATCAGCAACAGCAGGACTTGCAAACACCATTCATGAATCAGCAAAGGCGGGTAAATCCAGGAGAAACCACAAGGCTCTGCCATCAGCTCAAGTCCGAGGAAGTGTCAAGAAGCCACCAGAACACCACCAGAAGATTTTTGGGTACCTTTCTCTCTATGAAGTCATGATATATGATGACCAGCAAAGGATGACAAGGCATACCATTATCATCCAGTATTGTCTACTGTTCATTGGGTTATATTTATATCCTTTCCAAACACCACGTGTTTGCTTAAGCATCTGGTCTAGCAAAACATCATATGGTCTTTTTCCAGGCTGCCTCCAGAAAAACACCACGTGTCTGTTCTTAGCGAAACATCCTCCCGTGAGTCGGCTTCAGAAAAAAACATCCTCTCATAAGACAGTTTCTAGAAAAACATCACATGACACAACTGAGTCTCCAAAGAAACCAAAAATTTCCACTTCAGGCTTCCCTCAAAAGGAGAAAAGGAGAACGATGCACACGTGTTTTCTTCTCCTAGTGACACTTGCTTATAATATATTTCTTCCATGCAAGGTGAGCGTTGGCT